TATAGCACTGAAAGGAGGAAGGAAAGACCAGGGTATAAGGATAGATTTTGATAAAAGCCTGTGTTATGTCCTTGGATCTGTTAGTGCAACGTCAATGCTAGTAGCATGGGAGGTGGGGGAGAGGTGCTGATTGAACTCAGTGTCAGTGAGCTTCAGTTCCTGGATTTTGGTGTTTTTTTTAAAAACTTCTTTTGTATTCTTGGTGTCCTAGACCACGGAAACTGCTGAGTCGCTTTATCTTTGACACATGATTTCTTTTTCAGGGGGGCTTAAGAGGTCATGGGAGTAAGAGAAAATGTCTAGTCCATCATCTTGTTGCTCACATGACCTGGAAGTACCATGAGGGGGGTGGAATGGGAAAATTATGGAATCATAGAACTTAAGAGCATAAAGCATAGAGATTATTTAGTTCAAACTTCTCATTTTACAGTTGAGGGGAAAAAGGTCCAGAGATATGAATGAACTTGTACAAGAACATCCAATTGATCATTGGCAGAGTGAGATTTAAACCCAACTGCCTTGAATTCTCATTTTATACATTCATCAAATTGCTACAATTCTGTCAAAAGTCCTTTTAAGATGTTTTAGTTGGTTCTCCTGTGTTGCTAAGTATAATCTAGTAAATATTATTGAAATTGGCTTTGATGATGATTTTGCTCTTTCAGAATAAATATCCTGAATGTTTTTTCCCCTTGTGCAGGACTGGAGAATGGACCGAACATAGATTGAACCATCTCCAAAAGGTTGTAGTTATTTTTTTTCGGCTAAATCCCTCAAATGTTTGTTTTTGCATAGTGACCCTCTTTGTTCTAAAAGTGAAACAGCCAAAATTCCAGTTAATTGAGTATCCCAGCCAGTCAACATTTCCTCAGACATGTTGTACTTGGACTGAGAACTTCTCCAAAATAAATTAGGCTTTCATCACAAAGACAATTCACACATTGAAAAACCACACATTTGCAGCTGCCATGACCTGCTAGAATATTATAGAAAATGAGAGTCATTCAATATGAGAAAGTTCAATTAGATATAAATATGTTAGATGTTCACTGACCACCAGCTATGTACTATCAGCTACCAGTAGCTGGTGAAACCCCTGACCAGTGCAATACTTAGTTCAGGAAGTACACAGAGTTTCTAGGCCATCTCTAATAAATAATGGGTAGGGGCAGCTAGGTGGCGCAGTGGATAGAGCACCAGCCCTGGATTCAGGAGGACCTGAGTTCAAATCCAACATCAGACACATAACATTTACCAGCTGTGTGACCCTGGGCAAGTCACTTAACCCCATTGCCTAGACAAAAAAAGGCAAAAACAAAAAACATAAATAATGGGTAGACTTGCCTTCTGCTACTCTGTCCTATAAATCCTAGGAAGAAACTGGTTCTAAATTCTATGACAGACTTCATTGAAACAATTTAGCAAAAAATAAAAAATTGCCTTGTGAATATGTTTATCCATTTTCTTTCCTTCTGCTTCTGACCTTGGCTCTCAGTATGGGATTATCATTGAAATATTAAAATTTCATTCCTCTGTTTTCTCATTTACAAAATGAAGGGATGGGCTAAATGATCTTTAAGGTCCCTTCCAGATCTCATATTCTGTGCTCCTGTTACTCCTTCCTGATACTGTAATATAGGTACGAGACAAATTTGCATTTTGTATTTGGCAAATGGATATAAGGACACAGCATGGAACTTAGAAGAGATCTCTTTTTCTTGCATACCCCTTTTAGAGTAGGACATGTGTCTACCTATCTAAATCTGACCCATCCTTTAAAGTTCATTTCAAATATCATTTTCATCAAGAATCCTTCCTTGACACCCCTAACTCTTGGATTAACCTCTCCCCTCAACTCATCACTTTTTATCTGTACCACTTACTTGGCATTGTCTTGTGACATCTCTCGTACTGTTTTCTTTCCATGTTTGAATGTTCTTACTCTCTGACTAGCTTGTAAATACCTTCAGGAGAGGGACTGACAGTCTTATACTTCTTTGTATCTCCCACTATGCCTAGCACACTGACCATTAGATTGTAAGCTCCTTCAGGGCAGGGACTTTCTTTTGCTTCTTTTTATATCCCCAATACTTAGTACAGTGTCTGGCACACAGTAAGCACTTCATAAATGTTTATTGAATTAAATTGAATTAAATGAAGTGAAGATCTGTTCAATGAGACACAAGTGAGATAATATTGATTGTGTGCTTAGAGTTTCTTGAAGGAAAGTTACCTGGGTGAGAATCACTTGATGCCAGAGATAGAAGGTTCTCAGAATTCAGCTGGCCAAACTTCTTAAGCATGAACTTATTTCCTAAAATCCAAAAGTGATCATCCATCCTCCAACTGAAGATTTGGGAACTTTTTAAATTGTTATTTAGTTTTTCACATGTGCTTTGTCCAGTTTTCCCTACTAGATTGTAAGTACTTTGAAGAAAGAGATTCTGCTTCATATTTATCTGTATTTTCTGCAGAACTTGGAACAGACACTTATATGTAGTGAATATTGACTTGATATTTGTTGAATGAAGACATGCTCTTTCCTAAAGATTCTCTAGTTGCTATGCATAGTCACAGATGGACCATTGGGTATCACTTTTCCTCCCACCTCTGTCTGTGGTTTTGTTGCCATTAACAGAATAATGAAGCAATCCAAGGCCTTAATATTTTCTAAAGCTCTCAATTCCATTTAGCAGGGCATTAGGGTTGTATGTAATTTGTCAGTGTTTATTTTCTCATAAGATTTCTTCCACAGAGCCTAGGATGGAGAGTCTATGAAGCTGGATGCTCACTCCAGCTCTGTCACTCACTCTCAGTAAAACTTTGGCCAACCTTCTTTATCTCTCCTGGCCTCAATATCCCTGTCTGTACAATGAGGGTATTGGACTAGACTAGTTCTTAAAGTGAACACCATGAACTTTGTTTTTAAAAAAATATTTTTATAACACTATGCCAACATAATTGGTTTCCTTTGTAATCCTATGTATTTTATTTTATTTGTTTAAAAACATTATTCTAAGAAGGGATCCTCAGGCTTCACCAGACCACCAAAAAGGTCTGTAACACAAAAATATGTTAAAAATCCTTGGACTGGATCTTTTCTAAAATGTTTTTTAACTCTAAAGTTCTGTGATTTTTATAGACACTGACAGAAAAAAAGCCCAGGGCAGGAACATTTGTTGGGACTATTGTGCCAGACTAACTGGGGCCATGCACTTAAAAAATAAAAATCTGAAACAAATAAATCCTATGGTTACCTTCATTATTATGTCTACAAAACCCAAAATTGATTTCACCATTGTTCCTGGCACCAGCCTTGCACCTCCCTTTGTACTACTCTTAGTAATTCCAAATGTAACAGTGAGTGCAGAGCTAGACCAGGCTGCCGAAGGGTTGTGTGGTATAATGCATAGAGATAGATTAGAAACCACAAAGATTTGGTTCAAGCTTTACCTTTGACACCTGCAGGTTTTGTGATTCTAGGCAAGGCACTTAAATCTCTCAGGGATTTAGGCAACTCTGTAAGTTGCAGAAAAGGTACTACCTGCCTTGGGAGAGGGAATTTCCTCATTTGGGAGCGCCCTCTATCAATGAAACCCCAGGTCTAGTCCCTATTTTTGGTTCCTATAACACTAAAAACAAAGGAAAGAAATTGGCTTTCCTGTCTATGGCAAGGTCAGCATCGTTCTTCCAATCACCAAAGATCTACCTTCGTTTGAAAATTGCTCTCCTTCCTCCCTCTCATGCATGTGGAACTAATGCTTCACTTTTGGTCAGAAAGATTTTGATTCAAATTCCATCTCTGACACTTTTACTAGCTATGTGACCATAAGGAAATCACTTCACATCTTTGAGAATTGTTTCCTCATCTGCAAGATGGGAATAATAAGAGCACCTACAGACAGAATTGCAGTGAGAATTGAATGAAATGAGTTATACTGCTCTTTGGAAAGGATTAAAGTACTATTTAAATGCAAGCTATTATCTTCACTGTGATGGATGATTAAAGTACAAAAGGAAATGTTCTATGGGCCTGGAGACCTGGAAGTTTTGAATAGCTCACAAAATACCCTCTTTAGGAGTTAAGTGTAAGTATATCATCAATCTTCATCATCTTCATCATCATCATCATCGTCAATCATTACCATCACTGTCATCATCATCATAGCTAATATTTATATAGAACCTAGTATGTGCTAGGCACTGTGCTAAGCCTTTTACAATTATTATCTCAGCTGATCCTGACAACCCTGGGAGGTGAGTGCTATTGTTATACCCATTTTACAGGTGAAGAAACTGAGGGAAACAGAAGCTAAGTGACTTTCTCAGGATGACACAACTAGTAAGTGTCTGAAGCAGGATTTGAATTCAGGTCTTCCTGACTCCAGGTCCAGCACTCTGTACACTTGCTGGACCTGGCTCTATCCTACAATTTAAAACAATATTTTTTTCCGTGTGGCACCTGAAGACATCTCACACATTGGTGCCTAAGAACTGACTTCAGTTTCAAGGTATTCTGTATGCCAGCATTCACCCCAAAATACAGCTCACAAACCTTTCTGAAGTGTTCTTTTTTATTAACCAACAAGAGGGCACATTATTTCAAAGCTGAGGACATTTAATCAGTATGGCAAATCACATGACACGAAAAGATTCCCTACCTCTCCATGTATACATAGAATACTTCTCCCACAAATACCACAAGTGAGAGAAGGCATACAGACAAGATGAACAGGTGACATAGATGGAAGGCTCATACACATGGAGCATATGTGGCCAGAAAACCCATATCGAGAAGCATACATGCCTAGAATCTATGTGACCAGAGTATATGCCTGGATGGCACACACATAGGGATGGGTTTTGCAAGGTGACACATGAGTCTGAGGCAACTTACAACCCTAACAATGAAAAGCCCATGAGGTCACTGTGCTATTCTGTGTCGGGCATCATCATATCTCCACTTTCTATGACATCATCTCTTCTGGGCACATCCACTGGTCTCATGGTCATTGACACACCAAGCTACTATCTTCTTGGATGCAGCAATTAAGAAATTTTTCTCTGGTAAAGTAAATATAAAGCTCATTTAGTTCTAAGCCTAGGGCTATGACTTCAACACACCAACCCAGACAACCAGAAAAAGCTAGCTAGGTAAGTTAAGTCCATTCTTTTGACTGACTTCCTTCTGGCACTGACTCAAGGTCCTTGACAGTCACCACCTAACTTGAGGTAAGAACACTCCTTTTGACTCCTATATAACACCTGATTATTAGTCTTCATCCCCCAAACCCATGTGAAGGACTGCCCTCAGTCAAACCCCATAGTAGTTGTGAAGGGGCTGTAACAAAGAGGCTCTCCTTAGTTCTCATGATACTCCCTGAATGGCACGGGCAAGGGGAAAAAACAAAAGGGGCAAGCCAAACCAGTGGAGCCGCTGGGTCCCACCCTCCGAGCTGTGTTCTTGCTTCTGTTGCTACCTACCAGCAACAGAATCAATAGTCCTTATCATTTTGGCCAACACAAAGGGATTCTGAACTTCCCCAAGAAAATGGGTCTCTCTGCACAACCACCAAAGCTACCCCCTCCACAAATCTGGGAGATTATCTCATCCCAAATAAAAGAGATATCAAATACATCCACAAAGCTTTGGAATGCCTGGCAATATTTCCGACATGTTCCATTATCTTTAAGGACAGCGGTTTTGACAAAACCTTATTCCATAAATGTGGCCATGACCAATTAAAAGGTCAAAATGGTCCAGGCAGAGTCTAAGAAATGGTGGCCAAAGACAGTACCTCGTCACCAACTATTTAAATATTGGAAAATTTAAAGCAAAATTTGAAAAGTAGGGTCCAAAGAAAGTTTCCAGATGGGAACAGAAACAAAAGAAATCCACAGTTAGACCTGAGCTACCTCTCGGTCCACAATCATAGTATAAGCTACATCAGCAGGCTTACAGAGGCACGAAAACAAAGACAAAACACACACATACATACACACACACAACACGTCCCTTGCAGGAGGTACACACAGTTTACCAGGGATAGTGTGCTGTGGAATAGTGTATCTCTGTGGGGTTTACTGCATCACTTGGAACAAAGCGCATATAAGTAAATGCCAGAGAGGTACAGCTAAAGGAAACACTGTTTCAATCCTGAGTAGATCTCAAAGACAGATACTGGGTGAACTATTCACTAGGACAAATCTTGACATGATGACTGACCATTTTTTAGATGCTTTGAACTAGATTCTTACCACTCCAAAACAGTATTCCATCCATCAGTTACCAAGTTCTATTAATTCCATCTTGTCAACTTTCCCCATAGCTGCCCCCTGCCTACTATTCTCAGCTGCCACCATGCTAGCCTAGCTCTTTATAATTTTTTGCCTGGATTAGTATAGCAGCTTCCTGTTTTTCTTGCCTCTAGGTCCTTCCCACTCCAATCTGTTCTTCATATGGTTGACAGGTTTAATTTTATTAATACATAAATGTGATCTTATCACTCTTCTTCTCAAAACCTTCCAATGGTTCCCTGTTGCCTGCTGAATAAAGTCCAAACTTTTTAATTTGTCTCCAGCCTCATCTCCTCCTTCTCCCCTTCACACACTCTTCCCTTTGGCCAAACTAGACTGCTTGCTCATCCTCAAACACTTCCCAGACTTTCAACCTTCAGCCTTTTAGGCTGCTACTTATTGCAGATATTCCCAGGAAGTTTTTTTCTCCCACTCTTATGTTAGAATTGGCCTTTCTTGCCATGCTGTTCCCATGGTCTTTGGGGTCCTTGGATGCCTTACAGCCTTCATAACCCAGCTTCCCCGTTTTTTTGCTCCTTGGGGGGAAAGGCACTCTCATCTCCCTGGCTCATTTCTTCACAATTTACAGAGGCTTGATGATCCTTTTCCTACAGGGCTCCAGCCTTAATTTCCAGTCAACAGGCAGAATTGGTCCAGTTCAACTTTCAGGTTTCCAGGAGGACCTTTTAAAATCCCTACTTTGAGGTCTAGCTCCAACCCCCCCTTTGTGAAGCTTTCCTAGGCCACCCAAGCCTGGGGTGCTCTATTGTCATCTGAATTCCTCTAGCAGTTGTTTTCTATACCAAGCCAAGTCAAGTCAACAATCATTTATTACTACGTCCCAGGAACTGTACACAGAAGTGGATGATTTTGCAGTATTGATCATTCTGTAATTCATCATACATGGCCTGGTGACATCTTGTGTCTTGATTAGGCTTTCATATGCTTACAGCATGCCTTCCCAACTAAACTGTAAGCTCCCATGACTCTGACACTACCTGAGTGACCTTGGGCAAGTCACTTGACCTCTGAGGGCCCTCAGTCCAATCTATAAAATGAAAAGGTTGGACTAGATGACCTCTGAAGTTCCTTCCAGCTCTGCGTCTAGGATCCTCGCATATTAAAGGACAGGGATTATGTCTTATGATTCTGAATATTTCCCCTCCTGTTCCTTTCTCTGGACTTCAAAACTATGCTTCTATGCCAGGTACCTTCAGTCTCCCTTCAAACCCCTCTCTCCCACCTCATCCTTGCCACTTTTCAATTCCCTTTTATGTGGTGTCTTCTCCTACTAAAATGTAAGTTCCTTGAAGGCAGGAACTATTTTTGGTTTTGCTTCAATTGTAGAATTGGATCCCCAGCATTTAGTGCAGTGGTTAGTATATTTGTTGTTGTTATTGTTCACTCATGTCCAACTCTTTGTGACCCCATGGACTATAGCATGCAGGCCCTTCTATCCTTCACTGTCTCCTGAAGTCTGTCCAAGCTCATGTTCGTTGCTTCCAGTATATATCCATATTAAACTCTGCTGTCCCCTTCTTCTTTTGCATTCAATCTTTCCCAATATCAGGGTCTTTTCCAGTGAATCCTGTCTTCTCATTGTTTAAGCTTCAGCTTTATTATTTGTCTTTCCAATGAATTAGTCTAAATTAATTTCTTTAAGTATCAACCAATTTAATCTCTTTGTTGTCTGAGGGACTCTCAAAAATTTTCTTCAGAACCATCATTCAAAAGCATCAATTCTGTGGAGCTCAGATTTTTTTTTATATTCCAATTCTCATAGTTATTATATTACTTTTGGAAGAAGCATAGCTCTGACTGTATGGACCTTTGTCAGCAAGGTGATGTCTTTGGTTTTTAGTATTCTGTCCAGATTTGCCATAGCTTTCCTTCTAAGGATCAAATATCTTTTAATTTCATGGCTGTAGTTGCTATCTTCAGTGATCTTTGAGCCCAGGAATATAAAATCTGACATTGCTTCCATTTCTTCTTCCTCTCTTTGCCAGGAGGTGATGGGACCAATTATCATGATCTTAGTTTTTTTGATGTTAAGCTTCAAGCCAGCTTTTACATTCTCCTCTTTCACTCTCATGAAGAGGCTTGTTAATTCTTCTCCATTTTCTGCTATCAGAGTGCTATCATCTGCATATATGAAATTGTTGATAATTTCTCACAGGTAACCTTAATTCTGGCTTTTGAGTCATCCAGCTGTCATGTTGCATGAGATACTCCACATACAAGTGAAATAAATAAGGTGACAATGTATAGCTTCATCATACTCCCGTTCCAATCTTAAACCACTTAGTTGTTCTGTGTTTGGTTCTAACTTTTGCTTCTTGTCCCATATACCCGTTCCTCAGAAGACAAGTAAGATGATCTTGTACTCTCATCTCTTTGAGAACTTGCCATATTTTGTTGTGATCCTCATAGTCAAAGGCTTTAATGTAGTCATGAAACAGAAGTAGGTGTTTTTCTAGAACTCCCATGTTGTCTCCATAACCTAGTGAATGTTGGCAATTTGGTCTCTACTTCCTCTGTCTTCTTAAAAACCAGCCTATTCTTCTGGTAATTCTCAGTTCACATATTACTGAAGCCTAGCTTGCAGAGTCTTAAGTATAACCTTGCTGGTATGTGAAATGAGCACAATGGTTCAATTATTTGAACATTCTTTGGCATTGCCCTTCTTTAAGATTTGGGGTATAAATCTTTTCTAACTCAGTGGCTGCTGTTGAGTTTACCAAATTTGCTGGCATATTGGATGCAGCATCATTTTTTTAGAATTTTAAATATTTCAGCTAAAGTTCAATCACCTATACTAGTCTTATTGTTAGCAGTGATTCCTAAGGCCCACTTGACTTCATTCTCCAGAATGTATGGCTGTACATCAGTAACCACATCATGGTGGTTATCAATGATGTTAAAATCTGTCTTGTATAATTCTTCTGTATATTCTTGCCACCTCTTCTTAATTTCTTCTATTTTTTAAATCGCTACCATTTTTTTCTTTTATCATGCCTATTTTTGAAACATTCCTTTGATTCTAATTTTCTTGAAGAGATCTCTTGTCTTTCCCATTCTATTGTTTTCTTCTATTGCTTTTCATTGCTTATTTAAGAAAAGCTTATCTCTCCTTGCTGTTCTCTAGAATTCTGCATTCAGCCGAACATATCTTTTCTTTTCTACTTCTCCTTTCCCTCTCGTTCTTTATTCAGTTATTTGTAAGGCCTCATCAGGGAGTCCTTTTGCTTTCTTGCTCTTCTTTGGGAATTTTTTTGTTGCTGCTACATAATATTGAACCTCTATCTTTAGTTCTTTGGGTAGATCTCTACCAGATCTAATTCCTTTAATCTATTTATCACCTCCACTTCATATTCATAAGGGATTTTATTGAAGTCATACCTATATGATCTAATGGTTGTCCCTACTTTCTCCAACTTGTTTAAATTTTGCAATAAGAAGCTCATGATCTGAGCCGGTTAGCTCCAGATCTTGTTTTCACTGACTGTACAGAGCTTCTCTGCCTTTGGTTGCAAAGCATATAATCATTCTGATTTCAATATTGAGCATCTGGTGACGTCCACGTGAAGAGTTGCCTTTTGAGTTATTTTAAAAAAGTATTTTCTATGACCAGCAAGTTATCTTGACAAAACTTTATTAGTCTCTACCGTACTTCATTTTGTACTCCAAGGCCAAACTTTTCTGTTATTCCAATTATCTTTTGATTTCCTATTTTAGTTTTCCAATCCTTTATGATGGATGTGACACCTTGTGTGTGTAGAGTGTGTGTGCATGTGTTATTCTAAAAGATGTTGTAGGTTTTCATAGAATTGAACAACTTTGACCTCTCAGCATCAGCGGTTGGAGCATAGACTTATATTACTGTGATATCGAATGGTTTACCTGGGATTTGAACAGATATTCTGTCATTTTTAAGATTATCTCAGTATTGCTTTTCTCACCCTTTTATTGACTACGAGGGCCACTCCATTTCTTGTAAGGGGTTCCTTCCCACAGTAGTGTACATAATGATTACCTGAATTAAATTCACCCATTCCAGTCCGTTTAAGCTCACGGACACCCAAGATGTTAATGTTTAAACTTTCCATCTCCTGTTTGACTACATCCAGCTTACTTTGGTTCGTAGATCTTATATTCCAGGTTATTATACAATATTGATCTTTACAGCATCAGATTTTCCTTTTGTCACCACACACATCCACAGCTGAGATTCCTTTTGGCCTTAGCCCATTCACTTCATTCTTTCTGAAACTGCTTGTCTTCTGTTCTTCACCAGTAACATGTTAGACACCTTCAAAACTGAGGAGCTTATTTTCAAATGTCATATCAATTATCAGTTTAGTACTGTCCATGGGGTATTCTTGGCAACGATACTGAAGTGACTTGCCATTTCCTTCTGCGATGGATAACCTTTTGTCAGAACTCTCTACTATAACCTGTCCATCTTGAGTAACCCTGCATGGCATAGCTCATACTTTCATTGAGCCATGCAAGCCCCCCTGTCACAACAAGGCAGTGATCCTCGAGGGGATGCAGCAAGCACTCAATAGATGCTTGTTTCTTTTCTTTGTTCCTTCTCTATATTTCCCTTAGTGCTGGGTGCATAGAACCTGCTCAGTAAGTGCTTGTTGGTTGCTATCCCAAAGCCATTTGGGGTAGGGCATTAGAAACAGCAGGCTCAGAAGGAGCTCTTGTCTTCTATTCCCCTAGAAAATGGGCAGGATGCCCCATGGGTCTTTAACCAAAAACACCAAGCACCCTGAAAAGGTTAATCCTGTTTCTACCTGCCTAGTTTAGATTGGATGACCATTAACTCACAGAAGAGCTAGTGATTGATTTGCTGGGCCACCATGCCTCATGACTGAGTTTTCATAGAGGAGTTCTTAGATGGAAAGTAGACCAAGCAAGTCCACCTTCAAAGAGGGCCCTATGTAAAGTGAAAGCTGGCAAAGTATTGTGAATTATGAATCAATGAACATTTATTAAGCACCTATTATATTCCAAGCACTTTACAAATATTATCTCATTCCTGCTTCACAACATCCCTGGGAGTTAGGTGCTATTATTATTCCCATTATACAAATAAAACTGAGGTTAAGTGAGTTGCCTAAGGGCCCACAGCAAGTAAGTGTCTGAGACTGGGTTTGAACTCAGGTCTGCCTAATTCAAGCCCAGGCACTCTACCTAGCTGCCCAGATATTGCTAAAAAAGAAAGGTATGAAATAGACAAATGTAGTCTCAGACAAATACTCTCCACGTTGTGCCTCAACCTAATACCAGAGGCCTGACTGGAAGACAGGGTCCCAACCACAGATAATCTGTAAATAATAGTAAATAATCCCATTGAACATTTTGAGAGTTGAACTATAGACACCACCTTTTGGAAGCTAAAGCTGGGGAAAAAAAAAACCTCACCAGATTAAACTCATCCTTCTTAAGCTACTGGCTGTTAGCTACAAAGTGGGTCTCTGTCATCATCATCACAGCTGGCCAAATCAATAGCAATTTGGAGGCTATGGTGATGGCAGGCTGGGGTGTCATCTGACCAAATCTTCTTGATCTAATTAGTTGCCAGTAGCTTCCTGACTCCTCTGGGATATTCTCAACTAATGCACTGAAAGTGGAAAACTTTCCCATTCTTCTCCATCTTTGTGGGATGGTTCCGAAAGAGGAACAGGATGCTGCTGAACAGTCATCTTATTTTCCAAGCCCTGACAAGGACACACTCCAAGTCCCAGACGCAAAAGAGTGTGCCACCAGAAAGTTTCCTTACTTTCCGAGCACTGAAAAGGAGTCACTCCACCTCTCAAGGCTTCCAGGATTTGCAGATGAAACGACATCATCAAAAAGGAATTTCTGCTGCCGTGCCTTTGGGAACATCTTCCCACACCTCTTTTTCATCTCTGTCATGGTCATCTATGCCTTTCTGGGAGCAGTCCTCTTTCGTGTTATTGAGAGTGGTACAAATGACAGCAATGTTGAATTTGAGGCATTTTTGAACGAACTCTGGACTTTCTGTGAAAGAAATAAAGCAGGTATGTGAAATTCTGCTCTGAGAAGTGATTTCTGACCAGGCTGAACCATTTAGGGAACACTTGACTTTTTAAAAAGGTGTCCAAAGGCATGTATTTAGAAGGTTTTTGGTTTGTTTTTTTTTAAATGAACCTTTTTTTGTTTTCTTTTGCAGAGTTTAGTTTTCTGAGGTTAGCTCTCCACTGTCTTTAAATTAAGTGGTTGCTGTGGCGTTCAGCTGGTAGAATCTCTCAGGGATCCAGTCTGGGAATGTGGCCACCAGCCTTACAGGGCTGGAGGAAAGTGGGACTGCTTCTTTAGATGGACAGGTTTACAGACCCCTAACTATTTCTTGCTTAGCTTTCTGGCATGAGAATTTGTTGACTATTAGGTTATCCCAAGGAGAGTTGGAATAAGTCCCAGGAGAAAAGGCTGTTCTGAGTAAGCTGCCAACTCCCCTGGAGAGAGCAATTTGATGAAGCTGTCATCATGAAATATCAGAGCATTTACATGCTAAGGCTAGCTAGGAACTCTGGGGCCCATGAACAATCCATTTGGGGGTACTTGAGATCTTCTGGCTATTATGGTACAGGCTTAGTAGGGAAAAGACTTCTGGTTCTCCAGAAAAGTCTACCTGGAACACCCCACCCCCACCCCAAGCTCTGGATAATAACCCTTGGCTGCCCAGCTCTTGAGACGAAACAGAGTAGGGGTAGAGGGAATCAGAGGCAGCAAGCAGAGCCAGGCAAGGAAATGATTATGCTAAGAATAAAGGAGATCGGGTGGATGACCTCAAGACGTGGCATCATAGGGCCACAGATCACATACAAGGACTAATCTCTAATCTCTGCTGTTGTTAGGATGCTGGGCTTTGGTGCAAGAAACTGGCCAGAAATGCTTTTTCTGCTTAATATGTTCAGTCCTTTCCTCTTTGTTGAGTTCAAGGGAGGATTTCATGGTGAAATGAGGGTACTCCTAGGTCTACTATTGACTTGTTAATGACCTTGAACAAGCCACTTTGGTGAGGTTTTTTTGGGAGTGGGGTTGTTTTCTTGGTGATAATTCCTATTAAATACTTTGGTCTCAGGAAAGATAGCATTATGTGATAGAAAAACCAGGTTCTAATCCTATATCTGCCATGATGGCCAGGACTATAGTTCCTAAACTGGTAGGGACCCAATAGGACTCTTCCCCACCCATCCTACCCCTCTACCCTGACTCCATTTTACAGACGAGGAAGCTTGAGACCTAGAGAGAGGTTAAATGGATTTGCTCGCTGTCATACAGGTAGCAAGTAGCAGAATTGGGATTATAACCAAAGCCTCTGACTCCAGATCCAGGACTGGTATGTTTGTTAATTTGTTATTCTTGTGATATCTCCTCCCTCTAACTAGCACTCTGTAACTTGAAATAAAACACTTCCTGGGCCTCGTTAGCCTCATCTGTCAAATGAAAAGCTTGAAATGGAGAGTTTCTTAGGACTGTTTCTTCTCCACATACCTACAGCAAATGTGGAAGTCCTTGGAAGAGTCAAAAAGCACCTACAGATGTCAGGTCTTGTCAGTGTCACAAGTAGGGCTTCAGGAATGCTATTCCTCGGGTTATCTCCTTTTCTCTAAGAACAGGACTGAATAGTCTGAGGTCATGACCCGAGCTGTGACCTTTCCCCTTTCAGACTGGGGTTGGAAAAGGTGCCTTGTGAGAGAGGTGGCTACTGAGCACCTTCTCTGGAGTTAGATGACCTGGGTTGAAATCCAGCCCTCTACTGTGGGGGAAAGTCCCTGGATCTCAGTTTCCTTATCTGTTCAATGAGGGCAGTTGGACTAGAGATGGGCCCTTCCAAGTCTACATCTATGATAACAATGATCTCCCTATGTGAGGAAAAAGAATCTGCCTAATGGCTATACTACTGGCCCTTAGGGAGATCCAGCTTTGTCTGGAATCTGCCCTAGCTGGATGTCTATGACTGTGACATCCTGGCCCACAAGGGTTCAGAAGAGCAAAAGTGGAGCATAGGAGCAAGGTTGGGTGGGTGACATCTGAGATTCTTTCAATCCACTCAGACAAGGCTAGAATAACTGGCCAGATGGACTGGCTGAAAAACCAGGAAGCTTTCTTTAAGAGGCTGAAACTTGGATAGTATCTGGCTGTGCCTGTCAGTTGAATTCCGAAAAAGAAAAAGTCTTTGTTACTTAAATTCTGGCTTTGGGACCCCCCAAAAGGAGCAGATACTGTCATATCCAAACATAATTACTGAATTCAATCAGTCCTACTATTTTGTCCAAACTTGTGTTTTCAGGGATTTGGGGAGATCCTGATTAATAAACTCCCATTTCCTAATGCAGATTTGCAATTCTTCAGCAGTTTCTGGCTAAAAAAAAAAGTGCTCGGAAGCACTATGAAGCTAAATAATTTGCTTAGGGATCACAGCCAGTGAGTGTCCAAGGCAGGATTCAAACCTAAGACATCCCGACTCTAAAGTCTCCCCCCCCCTTTTTTTTTTGTCAGTATACCATATTGCCTGCCTCTTTTAGTGATAATTCACTCCTTATAAATGATCATTTCTTGCATCCCAATTCCAGGTGTGGCCTCTACCCTTAGCCCTATTCTAGCTTCTTGAATGAGGTGGGAGTCAGCAGCTCTATTCCTTCTGATGAAGAATCATTAAGCCTTGTTGTTTGTCTTACCACTGCTATCCTAAAGTCATCCAGCCCTTGCCATCTGACCTGACCTTTACCCTCCAGATCCCAGGCACAACCCCAGGACTGACCACAGCTAGACCTTTCCACCACCCCGGCAGCTCATGTGTTGTCTCCCCCATTTAGAGTGTGAGCTCCTTAAGAGTAAATACTATCTTCACTTTTGTGGTTGTTGTTGTTTCTATCGGTTTTGTTTCTAATAAGTGTTTAATAAATGTTTGTTTGTTGTTTTTTTCCCAATCATTCACTCATTACTTCCTTCATTCATACAGGCAGGTAGGTGGTGTAATGGACAGAGTGATCAGGAAGACTCAAGTTCAAATCCAGACTCAGACACTTACTAGCTGTGTGACCCTGGGCAAGTCATTCTACCTTAATAGGGATAATAATAGAGTCTGCCTCACAGGGATGTGATGAGGACCAAATGAGATAATATTAACTTATAAAAGCACTTAGTACAGTATTTGGCATATAGCAGAGGTTTAACAAACAATTTCCCCCTCCCTTATTTGTAGAAATCACAGAATTTATAGAAATAACATATATGCATATATGTGAATATACAAATGCATGTGTGTGTGTGTGTGTGTGTGTGTATGTGAATGCTATCTCCCTCCCTCATTTGTAGAAATGCAGGGGACTTGCATTTCACTTTTTGCAGATTTTTTTGATCCTTACAACCCTATTGAGGGATGGAAAAACTATGGTTCAGAGAAATTGGCTTCCTTAAGGTCACACAGCAATATGGTGGCAGGGAAGGGGTTAGAATTTGATCTCCTGATTCTGGCCAGCGCTCTTGACATTTAATTCTTAGGGCAATCCAAGAGTCAAGAACAACATAAACTGTATTACCATTTTCCCAGGGCCTTGGGGAACTGCAATATATAGTCATTGTGTGGTTAGTAAGGTTTGAGTCTTGGCCAAGTACAACGTGGAGGCTGCAAACCTCCATTCTGGTGGTGTTAATAGCTATTATTGTACATTTGCCAGTCCAGTGTCTAGGAAACAGACATTTAACTGTCCTAAGGGGAAGGAAAAACTCTCTGGGAAAATAATTCTGCCTCTTTGACTAGTGGAGGTCATGAGTTGACTGTTCTATCTCACTCGTCCCATTTCCTCTATAGGATCAGAGAAAGAGAGAAAGACGAGCTTCATGACAGTGACCAAAAAGATGATACAGGATGAAGTGAAGCATGACTGGCTCATCAGCTCCAAGGACTGGTCATTCATGGAATCCCTGTTTTTCTGCTGTACTGTATTTACCACAGTGGGTAAGACCGAAGGCCCTGGGTCATAGCCTCCAGGCTCAGTTCTAACCTTTGAGAAGAAAAAAGGGAGAAAACAGAAAACCAGGATCTTTTCTTGGGAGAGGCGTTGATGGATAAACAGCATTTGTTCAGCCCGTATTATATTCTAGGCCTGGGGATGCAAAGATGAATGGAAACTGAGTGTGCCTTCCAAAAGCTTCTATTTTTAGTAGAGGAAACAATATATACTTAGAGGAGTTTTTGCTCTTGTTTTGTGGTCCAGATTTATGATGTCATTGATATGGGGAATTCCCAGTGAGGAAAATCTCTCTACCACTGCAGGTCAGCAAATAGAGCTTTAGAAAGTTTCATAGAGACACTGAGAGGTTAAGTGATTTGTCCCTGGAGTCATCTAGCCAGTGTGGGAGATAGCACTTGAAACCAAGTCTTTTCTGACTCTGAGGATGTAGATCCATACACTCTTCTGCTTAAAATTTCACTATTTAGAGCTGAATTCCTTTAGCTAAAAAATGTGATTCTTGTTAAAAATAAAGGTTCCCTCTTTTAACCCTTGTTAGCCATTTATATTCTAATGTGAATGTGTTTCAGACCCTATCTTAAGAGCAGTTTTCTGGGATGAAAAAAAAGGCCCCATCAAGGAAATAAAAGACAGAATTGGAAGTCTGAGGGTCCTAAAGATAAACTTTAAAAACTCAAGATTTTAGATTTAGGTGTTAGTTCTACCACTACTTAGTTCAAGAATTAGATGTTAGTTCTACCACTCCTCATTTGATGCTGTCATTCAGTAATGAAATTAGGCCTTGGATTTAATCCCATATGCTTAAATTATTTTGGGACAGTGCAGAGTAGTTGAAAACCTATTGAACTGAGTGAGATTAAGGAGGCCTGAATTCTAATCCCAGTCAGGTATCTCCTTCCTGGGTGATCTTGAGTTAATCTGTTCCCTTTCTGAGGATTCCTCTTCCTTCCATTTCTGGCAGTCTGTGGCCATGGAGCAGCTTTGTGACCAGGACATGTTTCATCCTATTTGTGCCTTAGCAATTTTCCAGGTTAACCTGACTCTGCTCACAGAACCAATACTGCACTTTCCACTTTCCACTCTCATTTTTTCTTCTTCATGGCTGGTCCTAAACTGCTCCCCCTCCCCCATTACTGCCTGCCCCCCCCCCCCCCAATTTACTGTAACTGGGAATGTCCTGATAGAGCACTATCTAACCTTGCCTTCAACTTGGGAAGAGACATTCATGTTTAGATTGGCCTTTGGAAACCCCAGGCAAATTCCTATAGTGCCGGAGGGTTTCCAGAGGTATGAACAAAATTTTGTAGCTGACAAAGCTTGTCTTTGGCATCCATTGATTTTTGATTTTCAGATAAGTGTCTTCTTCCCACTGGTAACATCCTCTGCCTCTCTCAGAGGACTTTTACCTGAATTCCATTGTCTGCTCATCCAACTGTCTTGTCAGGCAGCCTCCTAGGAGTGTTTGATATATTAAAAGGGGACTTTTAAATATGGAAAGGTTTTTTAAGACCCAGAGTAATACATGTAGATGACCTTCAGGGAATTGATGTTTTGGGGATGAGGGCCCCCTTGGTGCTTCTTCCAATTACGTGGAGTCAGTGCTTATCTGCTCTGCCTCTATGGAAGGGTGGAACTATAAAGCAGTCAGTTTCATCCTCCCTTGTGAGAAGATGAAACTTACAGTTTTCCTCTAAGTCTCCAACCAATGAAATGTTGTCCAGTTTAACAACTGGAGACCATTTCCCTCTTTGCTATTTGGTAAATACAAAATCACAGAGCCACAGAATCTCAAAATTGAACTGGCTCTTAGTTGTCATCTAGACTCTCATTTAATGTTGAGGAATCTGAGGCTCAGAAAGAGAGGGAAATCATTTTTGGAAGTTATCTGGATGGTTAGGGTAAGACCTGGAGCCTAGGTTTTTTGATCCACGGTCACTTGCCAGTCTGGACCTCCTCTGAGCTATTCTCTTAATTTTCAAAAGCACTTGTGAGTTGGATCCCTAGATATATTGCTACTCTCATGTTCTAGGGATATATGGTAGATATATGCCCCCCTTAAACCATGGCACATGAGTCCCCATCAGTGTCCTTCCCCTTAATATTCAAACAGTGGGAACAATTAGCTCATAGCAAAGGCATTTATGCATGATAAAAAAAAATCTATAAAACATGCCTATCATAAGCCTGCAGTATACTTTCCCAACAAATACTTGCAGTATCTATGGGAAGAGTGGGTACAAACTTAGATTACAGTAGTAATGAGGGACAAACATGGGGAGTTCATGTGGCCAAAGCAACTCAGGTGTCTGATCCTGCAAAATGCTGGTGTCCTTTCTTTCCTTGTGGAGTCCTCATGCAGCTCGCCCACTGGGTACTGTGTGTCTGCTGGGCAGATTGCTTAGCTGGGATTCCATTACTCTTAACTTGATTCTTGCTCGCCAGGGCCAGTTCTCCCTCGAATTCACTGTTCTCTTCTCTGCTGACGAGGGTCACAATTCTAGAAGTTGCTACCCTCTTTGAGTCTGCTTCTATATGTCCATACCTCTCTAGAGTGTGTCTGGTCCCAAATGGATTGTTTCTTTTTTTTTGTTGAGTAGCTTTCCTTCAAAGAATCATGGCTGATGAGCATAGGTGGGGAAGAGAAAATCACCTTCTCTTCTCCCCATACCCCTAATCTCTGGTATGGACGTAGGGGTCATATTCTATCACAAAACTGCTTTTTTCCTGACACATACCCCCCAGATTTTTAAGGGCCACCAAGGATGTGAGAAATCCTCTCCCTGTCATTCCTTGCTCTTTCTAATCCAATCAAGGAAAACTCCTAAAGGTGTAATGGGATATTGATTTCAGCTACCCTTATCAAAGAGAAATTTTTTTTCCACATTTCATAAAGGGTTAATAGGGTGCTGATATATCCTTTAACATACCAATGAGTCATTACCTTTGGTATCTGCTTCTTTATTTCTGCAATTATATCAAGAGGGGGTGGGGAATCAATTGGTCACAGACCCAACTATGTACCCTATACTAGTAGTGTACACATGGTAACAGCAGATGTTTTCTGTTTAAAGGCCTTAAATTTCTTCTGAAATGACAGTACTCACAAAAGCCACTTCTTCTGATGGACTAATTTCCCTGCTCACCTAACTCACCTAGCAGAGTCCCCCAGGAAACTGTGAAGAACACCACCCACTGTGGGCAGGGCTATAGTACTTGGGATGGGTGAACTCCTAGTAAGACACTAAGCAGAGATTAAGAGGACATTTGGCCTCATAGGGGAAAAACATAAATAATAAGAATAGCTAGGATTTACATAATACCTATTATGTGCTAAGCAATATACTATGCTTTACAAGTATTATCTCATTTAAGTGTTGCAACAACACTGAAAAGGTAGGTGCTATTATTATCCCTATTTTATACATGAGGAAACTGAGGCAGACAGAGGTTAAATGACTTTGCAATGGACTCAAACTGGATTCTTGCCCAGCACTAAGTGATTTACCCTTTTTTTTAACACAATGGGGAAAAAAGTGCCAGAGGACCTTTAGTGAGATAGCTGAGAAGGAGGCCTGAATTAGAGTGATCCTGATGCTCAGGGAAAGATGAGACTTTTCTGAGGCAGAGATGACTAAAGAATAATGGAGATTTCAATATTTTCCCTCTTCCTCTCTCTTTTCATCCCTGTTACCATGATACAGAATCTCATCACCTTATACTTATGTCTCATTGCCTGCCTCTCTCACTCCAGTCTCTCCCTACTTCATCCTGCACACTGTTGACAAATTAAACTTTTTAAAATATGGACTTTTTCATATCACTCCTCTGGTCAGAATATTCTAATTGTTCTTCATTGCTTAGGATGTCAAGTCTATGTTTCCCGGGCTGGTTTTCAAGGCTGTCCCAAATATGGCCCTTACCTATTCCATCTAGCCTGATTCTCCATTCCTCACTCCCCCACACACACCCTCAACTGCAGTCAGATATCTTACATATCAACAAAACTCATTCTCCTCCTCACTTTTGCTCATGCAAAGGTCTCTCTCACCAGACCCACCCCATATCCATTCCACTTACTATCCTTCAATATACTACTTCTACCTTCTCAAAGTACTCCACAGGAGGAATCCTGACTGGCTACAACTCCTGGGTGACTTTTAAAAATCAGTTTAATCAGTCCATGAAAAATTCGGACTCAAAATGAAACTCAGCCTCCCGATGAAAAGCGTGGAGTTGGAGAAGAGACAGCTATGGAAAGCTACGCGAAATAGAGAAATTAGAAGTGTTTGTAGATGCCGCCATTAGAGGAAGGCAAGGGAACTCAGGAAGGGAGCAAGGTTACTAGGACTGGAGAGTGTCACAACAGATTCTGTGTTGCTGATGTCGTCCCCTATTTCAGACAATTGGCCCAATGCGGTAATCCTATATCTCCTTTTCCCTCTTGGGCTTCCTCATGAAAACATGAAATCTATTTCACTGGGCTCAGGAAAAGTCTGTTTTTTATTAGTTTACTTTCTTTGCATTTACCTTGACTTTGTAGGCAGTGTTAAGCACAGGCCTTTGATAATCTGGGTATATCTATTGGAAATGTAGGTGAGAACACACAAATGAGGGAGGACATCTGCAGAGAAGAGATGGAGGTCAATCTAACACAGAGCTGTTTTGCCAGAAGCTCTGTCTCTCAGTGAGGCCCAGAGGGAGTGAGACAGAGACAGACAGACAGAGAGAATTGCAGATACTTTGATACAACTTTGTACAGCAGAGGAGCTTTCATAGACAATACCCATCTAGGAAATGAGTTAATTGTAGGGTGAGTGACATGAAAATAGGAGATATTAAACAACCCAGCTCACCACCCTTCACCACCACTGCTATATTATTAGGCTTTAGAGTTATGAGGGACCTTATAAATGATCTAAACTAAAGCCTTCATTCTACATACAGATAGCAAAATTGAATCTCATTGGGGTATGGTGGTGGTGCA